ACGCGTCGCCTTTTTATTGCCGCGAGGGTGCAAAACCAGACAAGACTTGCTCTGGAAACCTGCCCCGCTCCGGCGGCGCGGTCAGGTGGGGAAGGCGGCTCTCGCCCTTCCTGAGCTCTGACCCACCGCAGCTCCTCACGTAATTTACTCCTTGCAGAGAAGAACCCTGCAGAGGGCTATTTATTGCTCATTTTGCAGTCCCATGAATACATCTGTAAACTGAGAAGTTACTGTGGTTGCTGATGATATGCTGTATTGCAGGAGTGGGCCAAGAAGAGCCCAGGAAATTAACTGGCTTTGCGAACGTTGTTTGTTTATTTATTGTATTTTTTTAAGCACCCTTTTAGGAGGTAGGAGATTCTTAATACAGGGAGCATCGGCATATTAACCTCACATTTTTTGCTGCTGAAAGGACTCTCTAGTCTGACTTCTACAGGAGATGTTTTGACAACAAAACAGTGCGGCTATGATTAGTCTGATAAAAGGGAGCCAGAGTTGGAGTATTGATGGTATGTGCATCTAGGATCTAGTTACAAAATGGGCTTTTAACCACACTCTCCCTTGTGAATTCATGTTATCAGAGGCCATCTTAAAAAAAAAAAACCAACAAAAAAGACAGACAACCTTTCTTTTTCATCTTACGTGGGTACGTTTCTTGTATTTCTTTATGCTTATGAAAAATGAGACATTAATAACCTTGACCATCACCACACACTGAGCAGACAGGCACTGTGCAAACTTCCTTACTTGCTTCACTAACCCATGCCAGTGCAGAAACCAGCAGTTTCATAGGAGTGAATCTCCTACGAAAAGGAGAAGCAGCAGTGACTCTCTTGAACTAGAGGGAACTATTGGATCCAGTTGTGGTTTTGTGAGGGGAGTGCAGAAGGACTGTATTGAGACCAACAGACTTTTCAAGCTTCTTTTTTTGATCCAATTTATTTTGAGAGTACATTTTCAGAGCTGATTAGCCAGCGTACTAAATCATTGCACTGCGTAACCCCCAAAAGCAACCCTGACAAACAATTAACAATAGAAACACCATTGTGGCAACAAGTGATGGATGGCTCAAGGGTGTAGCTTGGGCCTACTCTTTGTTCAGAAGAAAGCTGCTGCTGCTAAATAAAGACATGGGTAGTAAAAGGTGAGAGCGAACAGATCATATCTGGAATAAAACTATTCGCTCTGCTTGAGGGTAAGTTTCCTCACAGCAGTGAGCATCTCAGGAGAGACAGGCAAGCGCCGTGGCCCAGAGCAGGCTACAAGTCAGAAACTGCCATGCACCAACCCTCCTTCTGCCACAGCCTGGGATGAAACAGTCTCTCAGGGGTTCTCCTCGTCTGCTGTGGGCAAAATACGGCGTCCGCTGGCCTGCAGGCTGGGCGGTGGGGTGGGCTGACTGCTCTCTCCCAGGACACACACACAAGACTCGTACATAGGACCTGTAATTTCAGGCTGGTGGAGACCCTCTGCCTCGCCCTGGCCTCCCACATTCTCCGGAGCTCCACTGTGAATGCCCGGCGGGGTATCCCGGTCCGTCTGCCAGCCTGCGCCAAGCAAGGGCTGCATCCCGGTCTGGCCAGGCTGCCCGATGTCTGCTCGAAGGGCTGCTGACCACACACCGGGGGCATTCCCCAGGAGCAGGGTGAGCCTGACTGCCCCGGCTGCCTCCGACTCTCTCTTGCAGGGTCAGACCAATGTGCCTGCCCCTTTGACGATGCGGACCACTGCGCTTCATGGAGTAGCGAGAGCTGCATCGTGAGTTCCTGCAAAGAGACTGCAGAGTTCTTCCAAGGGAAGAATCCAGAGAGCTGCAGACATCGTCTTATGAACCAGGAGCTCTGGGATTTCTCTTTAACCCTTTTAAGACCACGGTTTCAAGTTCATTTCTATTGCCACGGGCAATCTCCCGATTCCTATTTTTCTGTCATTAATTTCTAAGCGTTGTTCCAAGTTTTGCATTAATTTGCCAATTTGCCTAAAACTGATTGCTGTACTCTGTTAAGAGAAACAGAATAATTTATCATAATGCCTCATATTGATTTTATTATGCAGCAGATTAGAAAGTAATAAATACATAGTGTAAAAAAGGAAGCTGGATATATATGCACTGTAAAACAGGTGGTAGGTAAAGATTACTTACTATAGACCACTGGAAAGACCACATGGTTGGAAGGACCATTTAAGGTCTACAACATTTTAAACGGTGATTAAAATGTTTGAGAAACTTTGCCAAACAAGACAAACCACCCTTCTGTAATCTGCACAGGAATGTTATTTTATGTATGCTTCACATGCGCACGCACACATGCACACAGGCTCACATGTATCTAGGTCACAATTTTTTTAGGAGCAGGGTAAGAGAAAGTCATTGATTGGTCCAGTAAATTATTTATCTTCATTTTCTGAGGAGGCTTTGCCATTTTCCGCTCTTACTGAACCCTGAGAAAACAATTTGCTCAGCCTTGACCTATCCCACCCCCCTGTGCTGTGTTTAAACGGATGACTTGCTGAGGTTGAATTAGGCAAAATATCTCTAGCTTCAGCATCAGGAAAAAAAAAAAAAAAAAAAAGCACAAATGAAGCCTAAAGAGCTCCTAGACCATGATTATGTGCCAGATCACCATAGTGGGCAACATGGACCGAAACTCTGAAGCAAATGTAAAATGCCCTCCCCATTATTTTAGTGTTCAGAGGTTCACTTTGGGGTAGATTTGTTCTTTGGAAAGCAGGTTTAGTTTCTGGATGAGACTCCTGAGACTTTTTGCGCCCATTTCTTCTCAAGGACTATTGAACCAGCGTGACCAATTGTACTAAGAGGAGCAAAAAAAGCAACAACCCCCACCTCCACCCTGTGTCCCCGAGTCCTCTTCAGCAGCAGCTCTATTGCTCACCTGCAGTATTTATTTGCTGGCTGTTTTGGATGGCCCTAGCCCTTAGGAGCCCACGTGGTGGATCAGGACATCATTGTGTGAGCTATATACAGACCAAAAAATAAAAACCTTCATTCACAAATCCGCACAGGCAAAATACATGCTTTAGTGACTGGCTGCAATGACAGGGCACGTTCTGACACTTGGAAAATTTCTGCTTGATGTGCAAAGAGGGCAGCACGCTGAGCACATCCGCATTTCCTTACAGAACTGATAAAACTTATGTTATACTGCTGCTTCATGCAGGACCACCCCACCTTGCCTAAACCACTGGCCTGTATACCTCACGGGAGCTAGGTGAGCGGCTCTGTGTTGCTGTAGGAGCGCGGTGTGTGCAGGGTACGCCAGTTCTCCAAAATCCTCCGGGTGTTACAACCTGTGCCCATCGCTGCCCCGCACATGCAGCCGCAGCGGTGCCGGTGCCCAGCGCAAGGTGCCTGTCCCGGCAGGATAGCTGGGGCTGGGCTCGCTTTTAGCATCAACACAGTATGTTTCTTGCCGATCTAAGGCGACGATAGAAAAACACGAATTGGAATAATGCCTTCCTGCCTCTCTCTTACTAGCGCTTTCCTTTTCCCTCCCTCCAAAAGAGGACGCGCGCTAAGCCTCGAGTTTACTCCCCATTAAAATATGCTGCCTTATATTCGTGAGGATAGGCTGTGCGCTCTGGCCTGGGCGCGCTCCCAGGGCCAGGCGCCCGCTTTATTCCACTCGAGGCTGCAAAACCCTCGGGGCAGCGGCTCCCACC